GAGTGAGGTGCGGGCGCAACACCGAGGGTTGCGATCCCGTTGCCGGTCCCGGTCTGGTACGGGCGCGACACTGAGGGTTGCGATCCGTTGCCGGTCACGAAAAAAGACAAAAAGGGAAAAAAAAAAAAAAAAGATGCTCCCTCAATTAAAAATTAAATGTGAAAATTTTACATATAATTTCAGTATGTTGAACAACTAACAATTACTGTATGGTGAACAACTAAATGAGTTGTTTTGGGTAGACACTGCCTTCAGTCTCAAACTATACCAGTTTTGTATGTAGTACTAATAAAAGGTCACCTGATTTAGTAATTATCCTGAGGATCAGAACTCACAATTTCATGTGCTGAACATCAGTTATAAATATCCCTTTTAAAATCAACTGTCCTAATGTTACATAGATATGTTTTTATGTCTTGGGGCAAAATTTACAAAAGTGCCAATATCATGACATGGACTCAAAAGTGCTAAGTAGCAAAAACATAAAAGTTCTAGAAAACTGATGATTCAGATGTTCTAGTGATGATGATGATGGTATGAAGAATTTGGATAAAATTGTTTCATGAATATAAAAATAGAAAAAAGCAATTATTTCTAAATTAAAATTTTTTTAATATAATTTTAAACATGTATATATAAGTAAATTATTAAATATTTTAAGAACACATTTGACTTTTTTTGCTACATTCTTAAAAGTTTATATATTCCGGGCTGGCCCGTGGCTCACTCGGGAGAGTGCAGTGCTGATAACACCAAGGCTACAGGTTCGGATCCCTATATGGGGATGGCCGGTTGGCTCACTTCGGAGAGCGTGGTGCTGACACCACCAAGTCAAGGGTTGAGATCCCCTTACCAGTCATCTTAAAAAAAAAAGTTTATATATTCCAATTGGCAAAGAGCTTTTCTTAATATTCTAGTCAGGACAAAGGGGAATTCTCTTACATTTGGGATCACCTCACATTAGTTTCTCCTTTTCACAAAGACCAAATGAATTAAAAATAGTGTCCTAAATGTGCAAAAAACCAAGTTGATAACCAGAGAAATCAAGTGACAGAATGAGAAAATCTGGATTCTAGTTTTGTTCTTCTATTTACAACCTGTCTGACCTTTAATTACTCAACTCCTCTTAGCTTCAGTTTCTTTTCCTGTATAATGGAGCATCATATGACTACCTCACAAGCTATTATGAGGGTCAAATGAATATACTGAAATTGTAAGCCAAAGCACTAACCAACTTATACCACATACAAGTATATTCACAATGTAAAACAGCACCATTTAATAATGCATCTCATTAAAAAAATTTATGTCACTTCAAGGCAATGGATTTTTACCTTTATGGCTCTGTCAATACTTAGATATTCAAATAATGGCTACTGACTCTCTCCTGAAAAAATTTTACATATAATTTCAGGTAATTCATACATCCTTTAGAGCAGTATTCTCAAATGGCCCATAGAGTATCACTTCATGCAATGAGAAATATTAATAATAAGTGTGAGCATATTGTAAATGTAATACCTGTAGAGCCTCCCCTGACACCAAATGTCTGAGAATCATAGACTTAGGAAACTATGGTCCCCTAAATTAGAATTTTATGAGGTTTTGAAGGAATAAGTAAAGATAAATAAAATGCCTATCTAGAGAAAGGATGGCTCAGACCAAAACTTTATTATTTTATTTTATTTTATTTTGGGGGGCAGTTGGCAGACAAAAACTTCATACCTATGTAAACATGCTATATTTAATACAAAGCCCATATCTAACATATCTAATAATAAGCTTGTTAGAACCAATGCTTTCAGGATCAAGAATAGTTCTTAGGGTTGCAGCTGGAGTTAAAAACATCTCCATTTAGGTAAAAATTAACATCAAAGGCAACATAAAAGGGAAAAGGGAACAGAAAGGTACATGCTATGGAGACGGGCAATCCATCCACTTTGCTTTCATGACTGGGCATATTCAAAGGCTAATTATACGTACTGACGAACTCCACTTTAGCAACGTTGTTATAAGAATTAACTAAATAACTATTTACTGAACACCTACTATGCTTCTGGGAATTAAGGTGAAATGGACTGACATTCTGCCATAAAAAGTTTAGTAGGGGGCCGGCCTGGTGGCGCACTGGAGAGTGCGCCATCCAGAATGTGGAGCCCACGGATATGGAGAGCCGACTATATCCTAGGGGAAATGGTCATGCCAAAACAGCAAGTAATAAAAGCAGCTTACGGCCGGCCTGGTGGCGCACTGGAGAGTGTGCCGCTTGGGAGTGCGGCGTCGCTCCCACCGAGGGTTCGGATCCCATGTGGAGACCGGTTCCCGCTCACTGGCTGAGCGTGGTGCGGGCGCAACACCAAGGGTTGTGATCCCGTTGCCGGTCCCCAGTACGGGCGTGACACCGAGGGTTACGATCCCGTTACCGGTCAGTAAAAAAGACAAAAAGGGAAAAAAAAAAAAAAGTTTAGTAGGGATGATAAGACACAAACAGGAATAACCAATGGCAGAATGTGTTAAGGAACATAAGAGAGTTACTGATAAAGTGCTGTGGAAATTCAGAGGAGGAAGAGATTACTTCTGGCTGGTAGTATCAGGGATGACTTGGTGGAAGAAACAGCATCTAAGTCATGCTTGATGAATTAGGGTATTTGAGTATGTAAAAATGAAGAAAACAGTAGGGTAAACTAGTAGGTCTCCAGCAGAAAAACTCTGGGACTCTCTGAGTCATTCCATTACCCAGACACGAGCAAAATAAGGCTCTCAAATTAGGACCAAAGTTCCCCACACTAAATATGGCTTAAACCTCAAAACACCCAGGACACCACAATCACTGGGTCCATGCAGCTGACATAGGTCTCTATTCACAGCATTACAGTTACTAACGCAGCTAGAAGGTATGGTCACCTCTAAACAAGATAAATTTATCCTATTTTAAATTACCATCTGTCTTATTTAATGCCTTGAAATAATAAAGCTCTTCAAATCAATGTTTACTGATGTTTAACAATCATTAAAATATAGCATATACTAAAGAGTAAATTA